CCCCTTTATCCGGCATCCACTGGGATTGGTAGATTCCAGATGAACCTAGTTTCTGGTTGCTTCAGAGTTACTATTAACAATAGGTCTAACTAATGCCATACCCGCATACTATGCCATAACATAACATAAACTCTGTACTGACTTCACATTAATATTAAAATGCAGTAATCAAAAGCAAATTAAGACAAATAGACACACGATTGTTTCCAGCAGAACAGCAGAACAGTACACAGGGGATTTTTATTTTCTGCTTAGATGAGAGTTCTGGTTAGTTGAATACCGGATAAAGGTGCCCATACATTGCACGATTATCGTGCGAGAATAGCGGGAAACCCCGCAATCGTATGATAATCGCAAAGTGTATGGAAGGCGTGCAACCGCTTCTACTGTACGGTCGCACGTCTTCCGTCGAACAAGCAGGCTGGAAAACCCGCTGGGAATCGTACCATTCTTGGCGAGTTAGTGGCCTGCTTGTTGAACAACTGCCGAACGGGGCGGTGTGCGCACGCGCACACTGCCCGTTTGCAGTCATCGGAAGCCCGCCCCTCATTGCAGTCATCCGAAGCCCGCCCCTTATTGCAGTCATCGGAAGCCCGCACCTCATTGCAGTCATCGGAAGCCCGCCCCTCATTGCAGTCATCGGAAGCCCGCCCCTCACTGAGGTCATCGGAAGCCTGCCCCTCAGGGGGGCGGGCTTGCGATGATCGCAAGTACGATCTGCCTGTCCAAGATGGGCAGATCGTACGTTTTTTAAATTACTTTACAAAAAGACAAAAGTCTTGCGAGGGTTGTAAAGTGTATGGCCACCTTTACAGAGAGTTTACTGTATTTGCCTTTAGTAAATCAACCCCCAAGTGTTCTTGTCTTGTTATGTGAATTAGACTTGTACATTCGGATTCGGACAAACCTGCAAATCAATTAAATTCCATTGATTCGACGGTTCGCCTGAATCCGAACGAACATGTCCGAATATGCGAAAAACATATTCGGGCACATATTCATTCGTTAACAGAACGATCGGCGGCCATATTTGGTGCCGGCGCGTTCTGCGCATCCGTGCTGCCATCTTGGAGCCGGGGCGCATAACGTCACCCGGCGTCTCATGTGCGCGGTGTCGGGTGACATCACACGCTGATATGGGCACCTCCATCTTGGTGTATACCAAGATCTCCACCAAGATGGCGGCGCACAACCGGCGTGTGACGTCACCCAATGTTGCGCACGCTCAGCATCATGCGACGTTATGCGCCCCGCCTCCGGGGTGTCAGTGGCCAATATGGGCGCCGAGCGTTCTTTTCTTTACATGTACGGTTTGGGATTCGGAGGTTAGATCCGAAATAGCATAAAAATTTGTTTCGTTTGATGAAACTAATGATAATGTTTTACGTTTTCGTTCATTTCCTCCGAAACAATTTTTTTTCGTTTGCACATGTCTAATGTTAGTGTGTAATAATGAGTAGTTAGCATCATAATACAATAATGTGTCTTTGTTTTAAAACACCACAAGCTACTGTTGCAGTAAAATGGTGCATGAATGCATGTTTGCAACCAGATTGGCCTAGTGACTTAAACTAGACACTGCTAATATATTACATTTGGGCTGTCACTGAGCCCTGGTGCATGCAGCTTCTGGGCCAGACCACCAAGTGAGGTCCACAATGAATCTTGAGGCACATAGATAAATGGTGCATTCATTTCAATGCGATCTGCTAGGAGATTTTTGGCACCCTAGAATAATGCAAACTGGCTTCGGACAGGAATCGGCTCTATTTTTTCGTTCAGCCCACAGGGAGAAGGAGAAAAATAGAGCAGTGTATGGCCAGCCTTAGTGTGTAACACATATCATTGCTGCACAAGCCGTTTTTTTTTTATTTACTGTTGAAGATATAATAAAGTCAAAATGTTAATTTTGAAGGAACACAACCGACTTGCTGTGTAGCCCCTTGACATCTTGATGCTCGTGATGCACTTCCCTTGCATGGTGTCCCGCCCAGCTCACGGACGTCGCTAGTTGGCAGGAGCTGGCCAGGACACCACCCAGAGCGTCCCACTCAGCTCCTGGCAACCAGTGACGTCAGTGAACTGGTCGGGAAACCTCCCAGATAGTCACAGGTTGTGTTGGACTCGAAGATCGCTAGTTCCTGTGTTCGGCGAACACAAAACTATCAGGGCGTTCGGTGGGCTGTTCACCCACCGAGTGGCCCACAAGGCACTGCGCACCGCACAGTGCCTTGTGAAGCCCTGATTGGGTAAAGCCTTGCACCTGACCACAGGTCAGGTGCAAGACTTTTTCCAATCACGGCACAGTGCATTGAAGAGCCATGATTGGTCAAAGTAATGTTGACTTTGCCCAATCATGGCTCACCTGTCAGGTGCCGTACAAATGTAAACAGTTGGGCGGAGCTAGCTAGCTGCCAACGTTAGCTCCACCCAATTGTTTATATTTTTCCGGCATCTGTCAGAATGCCATTCTGCGGCGGGAGTTCGCCGCGAGCGGACGGGTTTAAAAAAAATTATTTCTATTTATTTTTTCATGTTTTATTTTATTTTTTCGTCGAGTCGTCGTGGACAACGCTGGACGTCTTGATTGACGCTGGATTACTTCAGTGGATCAATTTTTTTTTTTTAAATAAAAGACTTGTCAAAAACATGTTTTGGGTTTTTTTCAATTAAAGGAGAACTATGGGGTTAGGGTTTTTCCCCATAGTTCTCCTAAGGGTAACGGGAGGACACAAACTAGCGTCCTCCCGTCACCCAAAGCTCAGTATACCGCGAGCTACAGCTCGCGGTATAAGGATTTTTTCAAAAGTCTGCTGTTTTTATTTACAATCTCTTTTAACCCTTTAGTGAATGGGTAGGGGTACAAGTACCCCTTACTCATTCACAAGGGAGGGGGCTGCATATGGGTGCCCCTTTATTAAAGGGGTACCCTTATGTGAATAAGCCCCCTGTCCACACCCACCACAAACGACGCCCCAGGGCTCGTGGTGAAGAGGCCCTTGTCCCCATCGGCACATAGACAAGGTGCTTTTCCAGGGGCGAACCTTTAAAAGCACCCTCCCAGTGCTGAGGGCATGTGGCCTGGTATCGCAGGGAGGGGGGCGCTCGCTCGTCCCCCCCTTTCCTGCTCTGCCAGGCCTGTGCTCGGATCAAGGGTCTGAATGGGAATTTTAAGGGGAACCCCACGTCTTTTTTTCTCCATTTTGAGGGGTGGGGTTCCTCCTTAAAATTCCTACCAGACCTCAAGGGCCTGGTATGACTTTTGGGGGGAACCCCACGCTTTTTTTTCCTTTTTTTTCTTTTTAAATGGGTCCCCTCCTAACATTCCTACCAGACCTAAAGGGTCCTGTATTGTTTGGGAGTGAGAATCACACGCTTTTTTATTTCTTTATAAATGTAATTTTTTCCTTATAAATGTCACTTTTTGCAGCAGCGGGTTTTATACATCGTACAGATCCGCCATTTTGCAGGCAGGTTAAGGGGACCCCCAAGGCACGATATTTAAAGGAACTTTTTATTTTTATTTGTTTCACTTTAAGTGATGTTAAAATCCCTGCTTCTTTAAAAACTGTATTTTTAAAAAGTGTTTTTTTCATTGATTCCTGTCCCCCAGGGCAATACCCGGACCCCCATACACCTTTTATGGCCAATAACTTGCATATAAGCCTTCAAAAAGGGGACGATTGATTTTCAAAGTTCTGGTCCCATAAACTTGCATTGAGTTCTAAGTTCAAATTCGAACTTTTTTCATGTTCGAAAGTTCGAACTTGAACTGAACTCAGGTGTGTTCGGCCCATTACTACCTGGGACACTCTAGCCAGAAAGGGGGCGTCAGATACGCTATATTTCCTATATTCATTCAGCAATGCTGATTCATTTGGGTTGCTTCCTATACCTTGGTATGTATTTACATTTTTTCCCACAACTCGACCTTCTCAGAATCTATATTTATTAGGACCATTTTGGATGATAGACATCATGCTGGGTGATTATATTAACATAACATAACTTCAAGATGCATATACCCAAAGGCAGAATACACTGAGTGGCCAGATTATTATGACCACCCCATCAGTACTTTGTTGGGCCGCCTCGTGACTCCACGAGATGCTGAAAGGTGATGCGAGGAATCTGACACGGCACTGTTGCCCTGTACCAGTCTTGCCACTCTCCGTTCTGCCCTAACATTGACTAGTCGCTGACGGCCACAATTTGCACGTTCAGACCCAAATTTTCCACTGACAGTCCGGTCTTTAAACACTTTAACAATGAGCTGCTCCTGAACATTTAACGAATTCTGCTGTTTTGCTGATACTCGCTCCATGGCTTCGCGCACCAACAATCATCCCACGTTCAAAGGCTGTTAAATTGCGTTGTTTACCCGTATCTTCAGAAACAAATCACTTCTACTGTCGTGGTAAACAACCCGCTTCCCTATTTATAATGGTCTGGCCCTCTAGCAACTTCAGCTCCAAATTATAGCTAATTTGCCTGCAAACGTCAGGAGGTCATAATAATCTGGCCACTCAGTGTATATGTCCAAGGGTTTTCTTTACATTTTCAACTATCGGGTTAATATTGGATATATGTTATGCAGCACTGGTGGCGGTTTCCTTTACCACCATGAAATCATTTTAAAGGTAAGGTACCCTTTAAAAAAAAAAAACATATTATTTTTTTGCATTAGAGTCTGAAAGGCATTGCACCCGCAATCAGTGCATCGTGGGTTTAGTGCTTTGGCTCCTGCAGATTCTACCTCCTGTCCTTGTCCGGACATTCGGTAACAGGGACCTGTTTAATATATGTGTTGAAATCAAAATATTTTTAAATTCACTTTTTATTATTATTAAAAAATATACTTTGACCTCAGTACAAAACATTTATTATTTATTGTTTTCATAAATATAAATAATTACATATATACAATATTTACATATTCAATTTATCCGAGTCTATTAATATATATATATATATGTATATGTATATAGACACGCAAAGGACTAGCTGCAGCCGCACTCTTCGACAATCATTTCTTCATGGTGCCTTAAGACCACCTCGCTGCCCTCATAGTACAGCATGGACAGGGGGCTCATCCTCACTGGGACACAGGCTGGGCATTCCACCTTCTCGGGCTGGTACAGCTTCATCACACTCTGCAAAACACAATAAGAAGACTGATAAGTAAATAGAGAATGCGTTATGGCGTATAATATAAAAATAATAGGGATTATAAAATTAAAAAAAGATTATTACACCAATAATCAGTCTGATTGACATTTCCCAGCACGCCATATGATATATAATGTAACCTCATATTATAATACCTAATCGCACAGATAACAGGGCTGATTCATAAAGACTGAATACAAAGGCATAAAAGTAGAGTTGTTGCCCAATCGGAATTCTATCTATCTATCTATCTATCTATCTATCTATCTATCTATCTATCTATCTATCTATCTATCTATCTATCTATCTATCTATCTATCAGCAACCTCAGCACTTCAGCTGTGCGGAAACTACAAATACCCTCAGTCTTGCAGCAATGCCCCATGGGACTTGTTTAACAGCTGGAATGCCAAGGTGCCTACCCCTGGTCTATCATCTATGTATTATCTAACAGCCTATGTCTCTATCTAAAGTTCTTACCGAAGGGCACAGTTGAAAAGCATATCAAAACACATGAAAGCAGCTAAACATTTTTAAAGGTGACCTGTAAAATGGCTCAGGGGTAAGAAACCTCTGCCCTCCAGCTGTGGTGAAACAACAAATCCCATCATGCCTTTGCCTCTGGGGGCCATGCCTGTGGCTGCCAGAGTCTTGCAATGCCTCATGGGACTTGTAGTTTCACCACAGCTGGAGGGCCGAGGTTGCCTACGCCTGAAGTAGCTTTTACATTATTTTTGCTAATACCGAAGTTTCTATGGAATGCAAACGACACATGACCCTTATATGCAGATGTGGTTTCACTTGTTTACAGTTAAAGGGAAACTGAAGAGTATTTTCACTCAGTACATATTCTGAATTATAGTTACACTTTTGTGAAAGTGGTGTATTATGTGTCACTTGACTGCTGTACCATATTTTGATCGTTGTAGTTCATATACATATTTTAAAATTGTCTCTCAAGTGGTTCTGTATGTATAGCTGTATCAGCTGAGACCAAGAGATGTTCACTGATAGGGGAAAGTGAGGTACGGCCACCATGATTCTCAGACGCCCCAGCTACATATGGGATGACCACAGTCTTAAGTTTGTTGAGCTTTTCACACTCATAGGTAGTCTTGGTGTTCTTTCCTCTCCTTCTTTCTGTTCTGACAAAGGCCCAGTCCTTAAGGCCAGTGGCATCACAAGGGGGGTGCGGCCCGCACCCGGGTGACACTATTGGGGGGGTGACACCAAAATGACTGACAGTCATTTTTATGTCACCCCCTCTGAAAAGTCTGGCACTCAGTCATGGACAGTTGCAGGAGAGAGAGGAGGGGACCCAGCGGCGTACCTTATCCCGCAGAGTGAATGTCCCCTCCTCTCTCTGCCGGCGTCCATCACCAAGTTGGCTGCCGACAGGTATCAAAAAGATGACAGCGCATGCGTGATGACGTCACGGTGGGGTGTCACCTGGTGTCTACTCCGGGCGTCTGGACGCCCCTGCTTATACCCACAAGTTTTAAGGGCCCCTCTGAGGTGTTTGAATTCCTTTGCCTTGGCCTTTGCCTTACTAAAGGCAAAGAGGTTGTTCACTTTACAAGGGAATTTCCCCTTAGCTTAGTGAATGAGGTGAAGCCCTTTCTGCTGACTTCCATCATCCATTCATACATTTTTTTTCCTTGCTCGTGATTGGGTATTCTATGAATTTTCCCCACATTCACTAGGCTAAGGGAAAGTTTATTTGCAAAGTGAACCGCCTATTCAGTAAACTAACCCCAATTAACTCTTATTGATGAGTATCTGTAGATTACTATGAGTGTAGTCCTGTATATGCAGTAACTAAAATATTCTAAGAGTATGGCTTCCCTTTAAGAATGTCATATGTATCTCTTCTGAAATGGCTAGAGACACCACTGTCCTTCAGTTATGACACCACTGCTCAACAAATAATTGCATTGTATAGAGTTACTTCTCCCCAACAGATTTATTTTTCACTTGGCAAACAACAATTAATGTCTAACAGGGTTATTCACAAAAGGGTGAAGAGTTTGGAGAAGGCAGGAGAAGTGAACCATCTAGGCCAAAATAGCTGATTTGGAAACATTTTCCAATTCATCTCACTTTCCTGTTCAGCTATGTTGTCCTAGATTGTTCACTTCTCCTGCCTTCTCCAAACTCTTCAACCTTTTGTGAAAAACCCTGTTTAAACATTATTAGAATTGCTTCTCTTTTCTTACCTTCATGTAAGCATGATTTGTTGGTTTGAAGGTCTCATTCAGCGGGATTGGACATGCACCCTCACATCTGTAGGCATTATACTTCTTAGGATAGACGATCCAATCTCCCCATCCGATTTCACCAAAGTCTACAACCATATCTACCCTTCGGCACAAGGGTTTCCCGTGTTCTGCAGGCCTTGAAGGCACATTGTTTATCAGCAGATGGTGGTCCTCATTCCTGTTCCTTCTGTGCCTCCGGATGGCTGATATTCTGCTAGCTTTCTCCAGTGCAACATACTTCGAGGACTCCACTGTTTTGATGAGACTTGGAGAACCAGATATGCTGTCATAGGACTTGTCCTTGGCAAACACCACAAGCACAACCCTCTCTGCACTGGATGTGTAGGTGGTCTGTTGTCCTCCTACTTCTGGTTCTAATTCCATATTTGTGTCCCTGGCTTTCTCTGTCATGTACTTGGATTTTATGTGCTCATCTGTATATTTTTCTCTTACGTGCTGGAGGAAGAGTTGAAGCATTTGGGTTAGGTCGAAGCTGGCCCATGGAGAACCTTGTATGGTAAAAGGATCTATCTTGAATGACCCAAGAAAGAGTTCTTTTCCTTTCTTGCTGTGGTAGATCTCTAAGGTTTTGTTCTCTGATGTCAGGAATGAAGGGGTGTGTATCCTTAGCTGGGCCAACTGTAACTCATTGCTGCTGGAAATCGAGGACATGTCGAAGGACAGCTTGAGGCGCTTATCGACTTCTGTACAATCTGCAGGAAACAAACCAATTCCGAAAATGTTAACACATTGTTCTGCAGCTTGGTTTTCCTAGATGTCACTGAGAAGAACGACTCATGTGTCAAACTGCTGTGTGTCTGGTGGCCAGACAGGAATAGGCTTAGACACCCAATACACAAAAACTGGTCGGATAACAAGTGTTTTAACACTTATTCTCAACAGGGGTAAGTCTAGGACCATCCATCTTTCTGTCTAGAGGAAGGAGAGCAGGGTCATCCCTCGGCCACTTGAAACACAGTTACGGCACATTGCTGCTTTTAATACATTTATTTGAAGGTGAACATATCCTAAAACTTGAGAAAAACTGCCAATTAACAAATTTAAAATAAATGCATGGACTAAAATGTTATTAAAGCTTTAGGATTTCAATATAAATTCAAAATTAATTTGTAATACTTTTTTAAATCTGCAGCTTTCAGTAAAGTCTAACTTGAGGCAAAATATGATTCCAACTTCTCACCCAACTCTGCTGTTTGGGTTCTATGAGACCGTACCACAAGTGCTGCAGATGTGCGCATGCCATCCAGTTAATGACAGACCCTTCCCATTTAAGTCATTCTCTTATGGATCCTGAAAGGACCATGCTGCTGGACAGCCAATTGGAAAAATTAAGGCAAACTATGATTCCCTCCAACTTCTCACCCAACTCTGCTATTTGGGTTATTTGAGACCGTACCACAAGCGCTGCAGATGTGCTCATGCTATCCAGTTAATGACAGTCCCTTCCCAATTAAGTCATTCTTTTCTGGATCCTGGGAGGACCATGCTGCTGGACAGCCAATTGGAAATGTTCATGTCATGCAGGTAGTGATGTGGACACCCAAAGAAGGATTCCACAGTAGTAAGGAGGAGAGAGGGCTTGGGACTGTGGTGCCACCTGACCGTGGCTTCAGGTAAGTAAAGTAGGGCATTTAGATCAGTTTTTGTGCATACCAATGACCAGTTAGAGGGAGAGGTGGGAAGGGGTTCTTGTTTTGCCCAAAGTTGGGCTTTAAAATAATACCTGGTGATCCTGCCATAAGGCCCCTTCTCCAGGCACTTTCTGTAATAGGGACTGGGCTTTGTCCCTGTTTCCCAATTGGGCTCTTGTGCTGTCACCCTGTCATATGAGCTTTTACTGGAGACTACAAGTGACATTTTTCAGGGATGGCTACTGTTATTACCATCAGGAATCCACCCTAAGAAATGCCATGCAGCCATCGCGGGAGTGCACGTAGACCAGAGATAGGCAACCTTGGCACTGCAGCGGTAATGGAACTTCAAGCCCCATGAGGCATTGCAAGACTGACAGCCACAGACATGACTCCCAGAAGCATGATGGATTTGTAGTTTCACCACTGCTTGAATGCCAAGTTTGCCTACACAACCTGCCGGGATGCATTAAAGCATGAAAAAGGTAAAAAATTTATTTTACTGAAAAAAAAAAAGGCAATTGTTTGTCATACATATAATTCTTTAACAAAGTAAATGTCTTTACAGCTAAAGTTTATATATACAAATATTTGATGGCCATTGGCCAATGACAAACATGCTTAAAAAAGGAAAGTAGGCATGGGAACCACTGTACTTACTTTTTGCAACAAGGCTTAGCACGGTGTTGTAATCTGAAGTGTTGGCTCGTTCTGACAATTTTGACTCATTCCGCATAAGAAGATTGTGGTAGAGCTGCATCATATACAAAGGATACTTCATACTCTGTAGGTGTCTGTTTCCTGGAAGGATGGATGATAGTTTCATGCCCAGATCAGATCCTGGAAGACCTATTTTTGACTCTGTTCCAAAAAGTGTGGGAATCCCATGAACCATGGACAGCAATACAATACTCAATGCTGTCTTAAGTGCAATCATGTCTGCTCAGCTTCTCTGCACTGCCACTTAACGCAGGAGATGTTGCCAGTTCTCACACTCTCTGAGGCAACGCTGGTCTTGCCCGCTGTATATATAGCGGGGAGGTTTGAGCTGTTCCTTTACTCTTCACACCTAATGACCTTTTGATCTACATGACCTCAGCATCAAAAGCCAATCACTTCTAGGGCCATGTCAACCCAATGGCCCCCTGCTGCTATACTAATGACTCCACACTGGGATTCTTGTAGAATGTCAAAGCTGCATCCTATGATCCTCCAAACCTCATTCTGAATGAGGACCTAACGTTACAGTAAATAGTCTACATACACCTATCTATGGATTTGCAATAGTCTTTATTGCAGAAGTGCACTTTAATGGAGAATAATTAAAATTAGCCAATGATTTAATTTGAAGGTAGACTTAAACCTTAAACTGGGTGGTATTTAGCTTGCTGATGTACTGTGCATCATAACCAATACAATTTTTGTAATAAAATTCTTCTTTTTAACTTTTTGTTTCCATCTGTTGTTGCATTTCAGTGCTGATAATCTCCAGCAGCCACTTTCTACATGCTCTCCGTCAATGGCTGCATGGCATTACTCATGACGGGGTTCCTAATGGTTACAACAGTGGACCGTGCCATGTATGTTGAAACAGACACTTGGGGTCGGATTTACTAAAGGCAAATAGGCTATTTACTTTCCAAAGGAAATTTCCCGTAGCTTATTGTAGACATAACAGGCGTGTTTCTAGGGTCCTAATAGGCCAGGGGCAACTTTGGGCACACAGATTAGAATGTTGAGGGCTGGTAGAATACCATGATGATTGGATTGGATGAAATCTGAGTCTAAAACTAATATAGACTTCTTAACTGAACAAAAATGAATTGGTCTAAAAACTGTAAAGTAACATTATGATGGCATGACTGAAATAAAAATTAAATGTATTATCATTGCTTAGGAAAAAAAAGATATGTTGATGGAATAATGTGGCCAAATTGGATTATGGATAAAATATATCATCTCCATATCTCAAAGGAGACCCGGGTCACTCAGTAGAAGACCCGGGTCACTCAGTAGGAGACCTAGGGCACTCAGTAGAACACAAGGAGCACCCAGTAGAAGACCCGAGGCACTCCCTAGAAGACCTGGGACACCCCCTAGAAGACCCAGGAAACTCAGTAGAACACACAGGACACTCAGTAGAAGACCCAGGGCACTCAGTAGAAGACCTGGGGCACTTACTAGAAGACCTGGGGCACTTACTAGAAGACCTGGGGCACTTACTAGAAGACCTGGGCACTCAGTAGAAAACCCAGGTCACTCCCTAGAAGACCTGGGGCATCCCCTAGAAGACCCAGGAAACTCAGTAGAACACCCAGGACACTCAATAGAAGACCTGGGGCACTCAGTAGAAGATCTGGGACACTCAGTAGAAGACCCTGGACACTCAGTAGAAGACTTGGGGTACTCAGTAGGAGGCCGGGCACCTAGTAGAAGACCCGGGGCACCCAGTGGAAGACCTGGAGCACTCAGTAGAAGACCTGGGGGCACTCAGTAGAAGATCTTGGACACTCAGTAGAAGGCCTGGGGCACTCAGTAGAAGACTTGGGGCACTCAGTAGAATGCCTGGTGCACAAGCCTTGGGTGCCAGGGTCTAGCAACACGAGGCTGGATGTATTGCTCTTTCATGTGACCCCAATCAATTCAACTATTGTTACAGTAGACATTCAGCATGCTAAAAGTACATAGCTTTACTTAAGTGACCAACAGAGCTATAGGGAAACAGATGCATTTGTACAGCATCTGGAGTGCGTGTGTCGATATTCCTACTCTCTACTTGAGAACGGTTGCCATCCGTTGATTACCGCTGCACCCACCTATTTTATATGGAAAAAACGTTCAGGAGTGCGATGGGTTCATGGACTGTTACTATAGGGAACCAAACGCATTGATTTTTTTCCGGCATATAACTGCAGCATGGACAAAAACTTGTCAACAATGCAGAAAACAGTATGGTTGATTTTGAATGAGGAGGCTATCCTCCTCTGAGGGACACAATGTTTACCTTCCATTTATATGGCATTAAAACACTGACAGAGATTATAACGCTTCCCTACTCTACAGAAAAACAGATTTGCCAATAAGTGAGCTTTAAAGTCCATCTCCAGGCAAACCAATAAACCACCCTTGCAGAGGGGCCACCCCCTGCATTAAAAGGGTTAAGTGCTTATATATGTCTAGGGGATCGGAGTAAATCACTTTTACTTTCCTGATCCTCCGTGGGCGGTGCTCTCCTCTTCTTCCCCTCTGCTGCGGCTGGTGAAATGTCCCTCGCATTTACTGCAGGTCTACGGAACCTGCAGTAGATTTGATGATGTCAGTGGCTCTTAGGCTGCTGGAATGAAGGGGAGAAGAGGCTACAGGGTTAGGTCTAGCGTCCCGAAACGGAGCTGGTGGGAGTGGGGATCAGGGACAGCTTTTTCTTTTCCCCTGGGCATAAATGAGCAATTAACCCTTGCAGTGGGGCTTTTTGATTTGCCCATAGATGGGCTTTAAGAATATAAGAATGTAAAAAAAAAAGACTTGAATTATGTTTTAATTTTCCCAATCAGTATATTTATTGCAATGATGTCTTCATTAATCTGATTTAGCCAATTCGGCCGGTGAGAAAACTTTCCATCATCATACATTAAATAAATGCCGAAACAAGGGAAAGTGAAAGCGCATTTTGTTTTTAATACCCAGTATATAAATATATCATTTCTTTAAATATCTCTTATTTACACTATTTACAAATCCTTTCTTATGACAAACATGGAAATACACCAACGAGACGCAGACGTCAGTTGCATCCGCACGCCTCCACCACCATGTCCTCGTGGTGCTTCAGTGAGACATTGTCGTCTTCGTACATCAACATTGACAGCGCACTCATCTTCACTGGTACACAGGAGGGACACTCAACCTTCTCAGAATCATACATCTTCACCAGACTCTAAAAAAAAGTGCAAAAAATAAAATCAGCAAAGCTTAGAATATATAAAGGAGTCATTGTTCACATTACATTAAACTTTATTGCTTTAAGTAGCACCAAAATATTCTATGGCAGGAGTAGACATCCTCGGCACTCCAGCTGTTGTGGATCTACAAGTCCCATGAGGCATTGCAAGACTCTGGCAGCCATAGGCATGACTCCCAGAGGCCAAATCATGGGATTTGTAGTTTCACTACTGCTGGGGTGCTGGGCTGCCTACCCCTGTTCTACAGTATTTTAATCAAGGGTGTAGCTAGAGGTATAGAAAACTGTGCAACTGCTATGGGGCCCAGAAGCATATGGAGCCCAGAGTCATCAGGCTACCCAATGATTTATATTGGTAGCAACAGCATGTGGCAAATACCTTTTTGGGTATTCCGGGTTACAATTCCGGGTTAGGTCTGCCTTAAAGGCTAATTACAACTTTTCCAAAAAATAATAAATGCACCTGCATTGATTTAAAAAAAAAAAGTGAATTTCTTCATTTTATTTTGCATTGGAGCATGCAAAGCATTGCAACGGATGCAGTACATGGGCGTCTGTAGACTGTTCTCCCAGCCTAGGCCTGTACTGAGGTATGGACGTTCAGTTATGGGGCTGGAGGAGGTTATATCAATGGACTACAAGCGAGGTGACGTCACCGTACTTGTGCTCTAATGGGATCTACATGGATGACTCGCTGCCCAGCTTCCTGATTGGTTGGGAAGCTGGCCAATCAGGAAGTCGGGCGCCGTGTAATGACGCAGCGCACGGCTTTCTGAATGGCCGGGAAGCCGGCTTCTTGCTCCCTCGTCCCCCCATGACGAGGGAGCATGGAGCAGGCTTGTGGGCCAATCGGGAAGCAGGGTGACGCGTCATTACCCGGCGCCTGGCTTCCTGATTGGCCAAAAAGCCAGCTCCATGCTTTCTCGTCACCTGGTGCCGAGAACCATGGGGACGGCTTCCCTGCTAATCGGAATCCGGGTGGCGAGTCTTTACACGCCGCCTGGCTTCCTGAATGGGTCTTTAGAGCAACAAAGGCTAAAAAGTGAAGTTAGGACTACAATGGGCTTCTGGTAAATCAAAAGGTATTTTTCCATCTTTTTAAAAGTATAAATCATGAGAAACTATGCGTGTTTTGCAGAGATGTTCTGAATATGGTTTTTTTTTGCCAAGACATACATTTTATTAGTATATATGTTGGATCAGACACGCATAAGCCATTTTTACATATTCCTTACTAAATTGAGTCAAATGGGTGCTTGTTAACAAAAATTACCTTTAGGAATGCATGGTTGGTTGGCTTGAAGGTCTCATTCAGCGGAATTGGACATGTTCCCTCGCATCTGTAAGCATTGTACCTTCTTGGGTAGATGATTCGATTTCCCCATTCGATCTTGTCAAACTCAACCCACATGTCTACCCTCCTGCATAGAGGTGCGCCGGCTTCTGCTTTTGCCGGGAGGCTGTTGACAACTATGCTGTGGTGTGAATTGTGGTTTCTCCTGTGTCTCCTTAGACCAGCCATTTTGGTCGTCCTCTCTGGCATGATGTACTTTGAGGACTGGACAGTCTTAATGAGGCTGGGGGAGCCAAAATGGCTGGCAGAGGTCTTTTCCCTAGCAAACACAACAAGCATGACTTTTTCTGCGGAGAAGTGCAGAGCAGGCAAAGGATCTGTATTTGGAGGTGGAACTTGTCCAGGCTCCCTAACATTACCAGACTCTGTGTGCCGCTCTGTCATGTCCTCTGCTGCTACATATTCAGGATTTAAGATTGGCTCCCCATGGTGGATGGAGGATTGGAGAATTCTGGTCAAGTTAAAGATTTTCCAAGAGTTGCCTTTTGCAGCTGAAGGGTTGGCCATGAACGACCCCATGAAGAGCTTGTGTTGACCATCCTTAGAATGGAAGATCTCCACTGTGATATTGCGTGCCCTATGGAAAGAAGGAAGACGAACTCTGAGTTCCACCAGCTTAAGCTCGGTGCTGCTGGAGATTGAAGACATATCGAAGGACATCCTCCAAAGGTTTCCCGCTTCACTGCAACCTGGATTAAAGAAAGAGAGTATTGAAACATCTAAACCAGAAATGGAATACAATTTGATCTGAAAACTACAAGGTGACCACTAAAATTAGATGCATTGATAGTTGATACCCTGAGAGATAACCAAAGTGTTCTGATAACAACCCAAAATTTGGCATCACTAGGACATCTACAGAGGGGGAATCTCCCTAACGGGGACACAGACAACACTAAAAACCTGACCGGGGTTATAATCCCTCTCCAAACAGTTTTGGCTTCATTTGCACTTTAAAGCTTCATTCACACAGCTAAGAGTTGGCCCATACACATCCGTATCGGGCCGTTCCTGGGAAGGACAGGTGCTGCGTGTGATTGTATGCGGCAGCCTGTTCTTCTCTATGGGAGGACGCGGCCGTACACCGTTGTACGCTCCTCCGAGCTGCACATCCGTGCAGGTGCGGGTGTCCTTACCCCACGCAGTAAGTAAGGACATACTCATAAGGACATACGCCCTATGCTCACCCGAGCAAGTGCGGGTGTCCTTACTCATACGCAGACAGGTTGGATCCTGTGTGCGTCCAAGCACGGACACCCGCACGGATGTGCAGCTCGGGTGAGCGTACCACGGCGTACAGCCGCGTCCTCCCATAGAGAAGAACAGGCTGCTGCGTGCAATCACGTGCAGCACACGATACGGTCGTGATCTGTACGAGCCAACTCTTAGCTGTGTGAATGTGGGCTTAGAAGTTAAAGGATAGCTATACTTTCATAAAATACAGTTATCTATTTTGCCTACACCACCACGACCCAACCTAATGCCTAATGTGCCCGCTCCCCAGCTCCAGATGCCCCCTTCCAGGATTGGATAGCTGTGGCCTGCAGGAATCTTTCTTCTCCTGGCTGGGCCTGTTCACAAACTTCTATGAGGCATCTTCTGTATTGGGAGACAGCCCCATAGACGTCTTCGAGGGCAAAGCCAGGGGACAGAAAGATTTCAACCAAAAGGCTATGGAGATTGCTTCAGGCTGCCGCCAACCGGGTGAGTACACAAAGGCAAAAAATAATCTAGCATGGACTGGTAGAAGATATAGGAAATAAGAAACATAAAGAGAATGCAGTAAATATTATGTTGCTTCAATCCCATCCCTATTGATATTGGGAAAACAGAGAACCTATTAAAGCAATAAAGCACAACCGGAGCCAAAACCTTTTTTAGATTTCCATGGAGCAGAGAGGGATTAGAAGACCCATAACGTTTTTATTGCTGTCCGTGTCCCCATTAGGGAGATCCACCATCTCTATTTGTCCTGGTGAACGTTATCACTAAAAGTGAAAGAAAATCCCAAATTTAGTGTTGTCATCAGAACTGGAAAGAATTAGAAATCTTCCAATTCCAAATTCCAAATGTCCTCTCTTTGGAGGGATTTCCTTTCATTTCCTGTTGTGGCTATTAGACAGGAAGTGAAAAGAAATATCTCCAATGAGATTAAAATGGTAAAATAAAATAAAAAGATGACAGGGGGTATAACCCTCCCTTACCCTATCCAAAACTAAAAATTCAGTTCTACTTTGAATGTTGCGATCGATGGTTAACAGCTGTTTTTGAGCCGTGTAAGACATGTTGATTCATTGGGGGGAATTTATCAAATCTGGAGCAGACAAAATCTGGAGCAGATTGGCACTGCAGCCAATCAGCTTCAATCTCTCATTTACAAATCTCAACTGAGCAAACTAAAGAGAGATGCTGATAGGTTCCCATGGCAAACTGCTCCAGTTTCTGTATGCTCCAGTTTTGATCAATTACCCCCATTGAAGGGAATTGATCAATACCGAAGCAGACAAAATCTGCAGCAGCTGTGCATGGCAACCAATCGGCTTCTCTCTTTCATTTTTAAATCTTAACTGGCCAAACTGAAGAGAGAAGCTGATTGGTTGCCATGCGCAGCTGCTCCAGATTTTGTCTGCTCCAGTTTTGATAAATCCCCCCTATTGTGTTTTGTTTGATAAGCTGCGCCTTTGTAGTATTATAAAAAACTTGGTGCATGGCGGGGGGGAGGGGAACGTTAAAATGCTGCATGAGCTACTTTCCTGTGTTTGTCGCATGTGTGCAGCCCATAGATTAAATGGGCTTGTGTGTGGCAAACACGGGAAAAATGCATGTGAACGCGCACAAGCGCGTGTTCACGCTATGCGGATGGAGAACGGAGCCTTAGGGCTCAGTTATCAGGTACAGGGTTATTCACTAAAATGAAGGGTTTGGAGAAGGCCGGAGAGAAGTGAACAATAAAGGCCAAAAGAGCTCATTTGGAAATATTCTCCCATTCAGCTCACTTTCCAGTTCAGCAATGTTGTCCTAGATTGTTAACTTCTCCGGCCTTCTCCAAACTCTTCACCCTTTTGTGAATAACCTTGTAGATTTTACTAGACGCAGGACATTGATGGTATAATAGCTTAGGCATTTTATGTATCATCATTGTGGTCACGGGCAGGGCCGGATTTACTCTCTCTGCTGCCCCAAGGCCAGGTTCCTCAATGCGCCCCACTGTATGCAGGCTGAAAAGAAGTGATCTCGGTGACATCGCCAGGATCACTTGTACAAAACAAGCGGCGGCTTCCCCGCTGTAAATTTAGCTCTGCTTGCCCAAAGCAGGGCTAAATGTAGAAAACCACTACTCTCCCGGCGCCCAGAACTGCATGTCCCAGGCATCGGGAGATAGGAATTCCACACCCCTGCTGCCCCTCTGCTCCATGCTCGAGGCCGTGCCTTGGTTGGCCTTGTGGGAAATCCGGGCCCTAGTCATGGGATCAGCACTAGCTGTCAACTTACAAGGTATAGGGGGTCTCAAATGAGGCCCCTGATGTCTCCAAAGGACCGCGTATAATATTTAATATATATAATACTATATAAGACTGTAAAAGACTCAAGAATTACTACATGAAATGGTCAGAGACTGTCCTACAGGAATGGTTGGCCGCTAAAGTCCTGCCCCAGGAGACGTTAAGAGACATGAACCACATTTCAAACACCGAAGGGCTATATGTGGCCCTCGGGCAGCAGGGTGGTTACCAGGTATCTACAGGCTCAGTGTGCACACTAAAGTAGGATTAATAAGAATGTTGCTATCCTTGTGTACAGCTAAACGTACTAATGATCAGGTCATTGATATCAAATTGTTTTGTCCAATGTTTTGCTGGATTGTTTTGTGGCCCCCAAAGAAAGTTCTTGTAACTTAAAAGATTGTAGTTAATCCAAGTGTCTCAAATGTTGAAGCATTTGCTGGGCAAACTGTCCAGAATTCCATAAACCTTACTTGCACTCATTTGAAGTCTGTTATACACACGCAGACTCAATAAAAAAACCATTTAGACAAATGTCAGAAGTAAGGATGTGTATTGAGGCGGCTGCACGCTTTTTTTTTTTTCAATGCAGGACTCAGGCTCAATACACAAACTGTAATGACCTAATGAGTGCTTAGCACCCGGCGTCTACCTAGTGAAGTCTGCCAACCAGCCATCCATCAGAGTGCTGAAGGAGTAGTGTAAATAAACAAATCACAACAAAAAGGGGCACAATTAGACAGCCTGGTTACAGTATTTCCACCATAAGATGGATAACACATGTAGTTTAATAGTATATGAACAGAACGCACTATCCAGAGAATTCCAATATTTCAGACTTTATTGAAATTCACAGCAAATCCAGTATAACAGAGAATAAAAGTGTATAAAGCAACAAATGCCAGCACTGCACAACCTCTATGAATAAGCCTACGGGTGAAACATGTGAGAGGTTGTGGCTGGTTGGGGGTGTGCAGTGCTGGCATTTGTTGCTTTATACACTTTTATTCTCTGTTATACTGGATTTGCTGTGAATTTCAATAAAGTCTGAAATATTGGAATTCTCTGGATAGTGCGGTCTGTTCGTATACTGCTGCATTCTAAGGTGGAGACGCACCTATTAGACCAGCACCTGGGGAGTCCTGATGGTGGCTAAGGAATTGGAGCGGGTAGATTTCCTTTGGCTCTACATGTAGTTTATTGTTTGCTATTGCATGTGAGAAATAATGAGCAATGCTCATGTGTTAACCTTATAAATAGGAGATCGTATGAATAACTATACAAATATAATAGTATCCACATACAATAATGAAATGCAATAATGAGCCAGAAAACAGACAACGCCAATGGCTGACAACCAGGGAAAGATTGGTCTTGCTTGTCCACTTATGAGACAAATATTTGACAAACTAGACTACCTTAGCTCTGTTTTGGCAATGGTCTTCAAATCCCATGAAAGATCATTATTGCCAGATATGGAACGTGCACCTGCTCACAAATGGCACCATTAATGGTTATTTCAGAAACCTCCCACATGAGGCAGACCATGGGCAGACGATAATACGAAATCACCTGCACTCCATACAGCGTACAGATCATGTTAAAAGGTTGGTGCTTGAAGTGACAATACGGATGGCGCCGTGTCAGATACAGTCCATAATAGAAGTCACCAGCACTCGATGATGTGTGCAAAAAGTAAAGCACTTTTTTTATTAAATTGTCACATGCGTCACACAGCCCATGCCATACAGCCAATGTTTCGTGGCCACGCTGGGTCCCTTCTTCTGGGCCACATAGTGGGTCACTATGTGGCCCAGAAGAAGGAACCCTGCGTGGCCCCCGAAACGTTGGCTGTATGACGCATATGGCAATTTAATAAAAAGTGCTTTACTTCTTGCACACATCATCGAGTGCTGGTGACTTCTATTATAGACCATGGGCAGAGACTCCAAAAGTCTGGATCTTACAGGCTGAGCAGGTGGAGCATACATCCAATGTGACCATCACCTTTTGAACCATGTATGACCAAATCTACATCTAAGGACAGCCATATAGTGCCCAAGGTAGGCAGATGGAGGAATCAGTTCATGCATGGCTTGCACACATAAAGCAATGGAAATTATTTTTCTGTTACTCTCTAAAATGTGGAAAATTAAAGGGACAGCTGTTCACTTTGCATACAGAAAAGTAGGGAAGGCATTGCACAATGGAAGGAATGACTTACTCTTGGCAGTGAGGCTCAGTACCATGTCAGATTCCTGCAGGATAGGATGTTCCAAGCCAGGAAAATCAGTCCCATTTCCTATGAGTGACTGGTACAGCTGCATCATGTAGACGGGGTAATCCATTTTGTGTAAGTGCCTGTTCTTGTTCGACGAATCATGCTCTTCTGTATGTCTTTGAACAGGAATGGGGAAAACTGTTGAAATAAGTGCAAAGCAGATGATGCTCCCCAGTGGAACCATGTCTCCAGTGGACACTTGCTTGTAGAAAAGTAGATCTGAGCTGAAAATTGCTGACAGACTTTATATAGTACAGAAACGTCTTCACACCTATGGTCCTTCACACCTGATGCCTATTCGTGTGAATGAGCTGTACATCTTGATCCACAGGTCGGTCTTTGCCAATGTCTGGCTAATGTCTCCCAACTGTTATGTTAATGGCCAGTGTCTGAAATGTCTCGCATCCTAGGTTCATTCATGACGTGCTTAAGAATGAGCTTCCATCAGTGTACCTGTAAACCAACATATTCAGGAGCAATAGAGGTGAATTAGCAAAGATTAATTTGCTATTAAGATGGGTATTTGAGATAATCCATTAATCCCAGTTGTACAAGTGGATAATCAGTTTCAGTTAACACATGATAAGGAGTGTACAGATTGAAGGTGGCCACAGACCCCTGCTGACAGTCAGACGAAGAAGTCCAGTCTGACTGTGTTGAAATTCTTCTTTTCACAGTTTTTCCACATAAAGACTAAAGCTTAACTCAGAGCGCGTATTTTCCTGTTGTCAAACACTCCCAACACTGGCTTATCTTGGGTGACCATAAAAGGTTGTCAAAAATGTAATTACTCCCCCCAAAATTGGTTGGACAGGGATGCCTGATGGTACCTATAGACATGACATTGCCACCCAGTCTAGTTAAAATCTATAAGACTGGGAGACATCCATCTGTTCTATATAGCCAGATTAAGGTACCACTAAATATAAAATGACCATTGCTGTAGGGTTGCATGGCTACACCCAAGCAGCTGATTGCTCTCATTGGCTTGGGTTGGACATTGTTGGTCAGTCAATATTATGTCTCCAGTGTAACGCAAAGAAACCATGCTTGGGTAATAAAGGCATATTTGCTTCATTCATGTCTCTGCATTATCTTTTCATTATCAAGAAGGTATGGGCTGAAATGTTTACACTCTACATTCATGATGGCAGTTGGACAAAGTGGCCATGATACACCCACCAAAAACTGATTTCTAAAGCTGGTCACACTTCTATAGATTATCTGCAGATTTTCTATGGTCAGATGGAAAAAGTGCAACAGATTCCTCCATCTACGCTAAACCATGTGGATGGAGGAATCTCTGACTGGGGCCAGCTTCAGTATCTTGCTAGTCGGCCCTGCCGGCTGTCAAAATACCTCTGATTGGATGCAGGCATTGGTCAGGTATTTTGGCAGCCAGCAGGGCCGACTAGCAAGATACTGAAGCTTGGAGATTCCTCCATCCCCACAGTTTAGAGTAGATGGAGGAATCTGTTGCACCTTTTCCCATCTGACATTAGAAAATCTGCAAATAATCTATAGGTGTGTGGCCAGCTTTAGAAAGCAGTTGTTGGTGGGTGTATCACGGCCACTTTGTCCAACCGCCATCATGAATGTAGAGTGTAAGCATTTCAGCCCATACTTGCTGATAATGAAAAGATAATGCAGAGACATGAATGGACAGATTGCCCACCATGCACTGTCCAGTGGAGGTGAATGGGCACCAAAGGATCTTAACATTTCTCACAGATGGTTTGTGTATGGCCACTTATAAAGCTCTACACATATTTAAAGTATGTTTTACAGATTGGAAGAGACAATATTGTGGACATATTACAATCTAGGAATGTTCCCTGATAACCTTGCAGCATGGTTCTGTTCCTACCATGCTGGTTATGGCCACCTTACTGGGATTCATGTGAAAACTAACACTGGTGACCCAATTCTGAACAAACTACGTATGCGGCTTTTTCTATCTTCGATACATTATAAGTTGCTGATCTGGAACAAGTACGGAATCAGTTTCATCAGAACACCTGATCTTCATACTTGTTTGTGTCCGTAGACTTAAAAAGTATTGGAGCCTTTGAATAAGTATGATAGCCAGACAGCTGGCATTTTAAGGCTAGGTCCACACCTAGGCGACTCCTAAACGCGTGGCAATCCACACAGTTTTGTGCATGATTGCCACGCGGTCGGGAATCGCCAAGGTGTGAATTTTCTAATGGCACCCCAGTCGCGCCGGGCGGATCGGGCGGTTTCCTACCGCGATTCTGCCCGTGCAAGTGAACATGATCGCGGCTAATAAAAGCCACGAGTCGCGTGTCGCAAAAAAAGGTATTTTTTTTAGTGATTGTTGCACAGATGTCACCCCATTGAAATCAATGGGGTCAGGTGGCAATCACTGTGTGCACTAGCGGCCCCGGGGAAACGCACGATCGCGCGGCCCCGGGGAAACGCATCCCAGGTGTCGTGCGGTGTAGTGCAGGTGTGAACCTAGCCTAAGAGGTTCAACAGTGGCAACCTCCATAGTAAATGTTAACATTAAATCATATCTTAAACCATCAAAACATTTTTAAATGTCACATGGAGATACCATGACAGATTCCATCTCATCCGTGTTGAGAGCTGACATTAAAACCTATTGATACCAGAATTAGACTTCAGGTTACAGAGAGTGGGGAAGTCTCCTGAGATACCACTGAGTTTGTGGGTGAGGACGAGCTTTTTATTTCTGCACTTTTAATATTGTATTATAACCAGAGTCTTTATGGTTTGGCTAAATGGCCCCTTTGTTATCATTACACACCTGGATTTGTGTAGGCCTTTGTTAATTGTATGTACTCAGTTCTGTTAACACACAAAATGGAGTAGTGATGGTCTGGGAGTGGTTTAGAAAGTCCTGAACTAACAATTGAAGGTGAGTTGATTCTTTTTCTTCAGAATAGCACGCATGTTTAGGCATGTCTTGTTAAAATGTATTTAAATTCAAAATGTAATATAATGCAGCTTGAATGTTCTTAGATGTGGCGGCTGCATTCATTTTTATTTTTTCAAGTACAGAAAATCTAACTAAGCTAATAGTCCCACCAATGCACCATGTAATGGAGTTGAACAAGGCATGTTGGAAGTCCAGCCTGTGTGACAACCATGACTGCCCCCATAGATAAAATGGAAAAATGGAGTGTAGGCACAAAGTGACCATTTTGTATCAGGATCCAAATGGGTACCACCAGGGTAGGGAAATGATCATCACCCTATTCACTGTTTTAGACCTAATCTGGCCAATAACTGGCCTATGTTGGGCTCCAGTAGGCTATAGACCTTGAAACTGGCATTGTAGAAGCAGATGCCCTCACAAGCTACAGACTGCATTCATTTCTGTGCAGTTTGAAGCTTGTGCTTCACTGAATGCTTGAATATTTATGGTGGTTTTGCTTAATAAATGCAACAGATATCTTCTCAATAGTTCAGAAAAAGATGAATGCTTGGGTTTAGGTACACAGACATGAATTTTTTTTTGACAATCTAACCAAAAAGGCCAAAATGGGTCATCTCATGTTAATGAGGTAAATGAAGACAGCTCCTGCCAAACCTCCTTGGGGAAGATATAATTGCCCAGTGCTGAGGACCAGCTGGCAGATGCAGAACCAGGAGAGTGGTCATCATATAGTGACTGAATGTCCAACCTCTCTAAGACTTGTTTTTGATGACCAGTTGTGCAGAGTTTGCTTGTTGTTTATATGATCTGAAGAGTGTATGTCTCACCAGGGCCGGATTTCCCACAAGGCAAACTGAGGCCCAGCCTCGGGGCAGCAGGGGTGTGGAATTCCTATCTCCCGACGCCCAGAACATGCAGTTCCGGGTGCCGGGCAGGTAATTGTTTTCTACATTTAGCCCTGCTTTGGGCAAGCAGGGTTAAATGTAGAGTGGGGAAGCCACCACTTGTTTTGTACAAGTGATCTTGGCAATGTTGTCGAGATCACTTGTATGCAGCCTGCATACAGGGGGGCGCATTGAGGAACTTGGCATTGGGGCAGCAGAGAGAGTAAATCCGGCCCTGTGTGATTTTTCAGTTGTCCACTTCTTTTGAAACAAATACTTTTTCAAGCCTTTGGGACACAGATAAGCTCTGATGCAAATGTAGGTGTGGGAATTCAGTAGCAGAAAGTGTTTGCTTTCTTAATCCTTTGTGAAGTACTTTTTTGTTTTTAAACCATTTTGGCGACATAGTTTTTTTTTCACACCATTGCTGATTATCTTGGGATGAGGGATGGGACTGTGAAGACAACACACTGGCCTGCCACTCTCCATCCTCACCGCTCGATATAACTTTGTAGCATTTTAATTTCTGGATCACTTCAGATATATTGAAGATTATAATCGTTCCTCTTTCTTTATTTTGACCATAAGTGGTCTCTACCATAAAGCATTGATTACAATAACAGGGCTTCTACTGTTGTCCTAGGGGTCATAAATGAGCACCTGTACTAATCGGTGAAGCTTGTTTTATACAGCGCATCTATAGACTAAAAAATATTTTTTCATTTTGGATGGAGTGGCTAGGGTTTAAATACAGTATCTGTCTGACATTTGAAAGCTAGAATAGGAATGGGTCTCTGGACCATTTCGACCAGCAGTCCCTTAGATCATGGTGCATTGCCGTGCAATAAGGGTCTTGGCGGGATCCTGTGGAGGTTTCCTCTCGAGTCCGACTGTTTGTCCAGTCCTGCTTATCTTACAACGATTCATTCCTCAATAAGCCTGCATATTGTGGATTTTTTCTGTTTGTCCATTACTACCTCTTTATTGCTGCTGCGTCAGCGTCATGCTTTTCCACTTAACTTTGTTCCCTATTTGTTGAAAAATAATACAAATTTTGTGAAAGAAACTGGGGAGATTCTTTTTGCCTGGTGACCATTGTCATAGGGGATAAGGGTTCATTCACACGGGAATCGGTCGGCACGTACAGCTCTGTGCTGCGTGCGCGCCGTATCGGGCAGCTCCCGGGAAGGACAGGTGCTGCATGTGATTATTACGCAGTCCCAGTCCTTCTCTATGGGACTACGTGGCCGTACACTGCCCTACGCTCATCCACCCTGCCTGTTCATGCGGGTGTCTGTACTCGTTACGCTGTCAGAATGGATCCTGTCTGC